ATGGAGGCGGTTTTCTGTCCAGTGGTTTTCATTCCTCCTCCTGTGCTTAACGGGGGAGAATCTGAGTGGAATCAGACACAGAAAGTGAATCCAGGAGTGTTAAAACTGGCTGGAATTCAGGTCTGACTCCATCTATTTAATTTGTTCTTACTCTTGGATTCAATCTGCTCTCTGAAGGATTTTAAACAAATCTCTCTGAGCAGATATTGAACCTGAAAGAAGGATCTTGAAGCTATTTCAGATGTTTTTAAAGCTACATGGTGTAGGAATTTGTCTGTATTTAGCAGTTAAGCTAGCTGTCAGGTATCCAGAATTTATGACTTAGAAATTGTGGTGTTTTCTCTGGTGATGTTTGGGATTTAAAAGAAACTACAAACTGTTTTAGATCCTTAGTGTGAGCATGTAATTCCTCCTCTAACAAGATGGAGAATTGTATTGGCATGTTAGCTTGTTTTTTTGTGTTTGTAGCTTGATTACATTGTAGCTAGCGTTAGCTAACAACTGGATATACTGCAAATGTTACAGACTGAAAAGCTGAACTGAGCTGATCAGTAGTGATAAGTTCTAGATGTATTTATTTCTGGATAAAGGTACATTAGATATCTGGTGAGGTATTGTGGATTAGCTATACTAGTGCTTTATGTCCCTCTCTAGTCTTTGAAAATGGTGGATCACCATGGAAACCTCTGTAGACTTACCCATACTCTGTATGTACAGTAGAGCCTTTACATAGGAATCCAAGTGGTTGTAGGACTTACTTCCTATGTAAAATATCACAGAAATTATTATACATAGCAGGAAAACAATGACTTATAGAAGAGATAGAAAAAGAAAGGTTTTTGATTGGCAGGTGGACACTGAGATACAGGACAAACTGTAATTTACTTTGGCTTTACTACAGGAACTTTAAACCAACTTACTTCCTATTGAATCTTTATATTCCTTTCTATGACTTCAAAGTAATATGTTGGAAATGGACTTTGGGTGTTGAGTAGAATATTTGGATCTTTAGGCAATTTTAAGTCGAGGTTCTTCTGTCCAAATAGGAAATTCTTCCTTATGAGTTGAAGTCAGATTCTTTTATGCCATATGAGGACACATTGATGAATTAATATAGCTAATGACATTATGTCCATTTAAATAAGCAAAGGCATTGGGTTTATAAACAAGGTTTTTAAGGCTTCTTCTCCCAGTCCAGGTATGATATTTGAACTTTAAAGGTTTATTTATCCACACAGGAGTGTTTAATGATCCAGGCTGAGTCATGTGACTTCTGGTGGTTCTAAGCTGTAATTTTAGCCTTTATCTCAGGCTGGAGCAGCTTTATTTATAATTATTTCTTGTGTTTGCAGCTGGAATTGTGAGGAGGAAGCAGTGGTGTGACATGGTTCCCTGTTTGGAAGATGAGGGCTGTGATCTACTGGTTAATAAATCTGGATGGATACATGGATAGATAAATAGATGGATAGATGATAGATGGATGGATTTTATTGATCCCAAGCTCTGGTCTTGTTTGGGGTGGTGGTCTGGTTCATTTTTAGGGGGGAAGCTGTGAAAAAAGGCTCTTTCCTGTGGTCCTGTATCCGGTGTTGTGGTTCTGAACTGGTCTAATGTGGTCTAGTTCCTGGTTCTGGTTCCTGGTTCTGAACTGGTCTGATATGGTCCTGGATCCTGGTCTGAACTGGACTGATGTGGTCTAGTTCCTGGTCCTGGTCTAGTTCCTGGTTCTGGTTCTGAATTGTAAGCAGATGGATCCCTTAATGGAGGATCTCCTGGCTGGTTTTGCTGGTGGAAACTGGGAAGTTGAGTTGAGAAAATGATTGGGTTTCTTTATGGCTTGAACTTAACTCTTATCATTACCATTAGTATAAAAATATATATATTATATATAATATATACTGTACCATTTTTCATCCAGTCTGTGTGTTACTGTAGGCTGCCTCCCTCCCTTTCTCTCTCTTTTTCTTTCTTTCATTCTGTCTTTCTCTCTCTTTTTCTGTCTCTTTCTTTCTGTCATTTTGTCTCTCTTTTTCTGTCTTTGTTTCTTTCTTTCATTTTGTCTTTCTCTCTCTTTTTCTGTCTGTCTTTCTCTCTCTTTTTCTGTCTGTCTTTAATTCCTTCATTCTTTCTTTCTTTCTCTTTCATTCTGTCTTTCTTTTTCTTTCTTTCCTTCTCTCTCTTTTTCTTTCTGTCTTTAATTCTTTCT